ACGGAGCACGTGCTGATGTGAGTCAGAGACCACGGCCTTTAGGAAGATCGCACCTGAACGTGAACCAAGTCAACAACTAACATGGTTTTCTGGGAGTCATGAGACTCTGATTAAATGTAAAATCCAACCAAAGGCACTGCCCTCAAGTCAACTCGACTCAGCCTCCAGGACAGAGCAGGGCACCTCACAGGGGATCGAGGCTGTAAACCCAGCGGGAAGTGGACCTCCTCACCTTTCTTCACAGAGAGGCCAATGGGCTCAAACTTCAGACCTTGTGGCTAGCACCAGAGTGTTTTAACCATGGTGTCACCAGGGCTCCTGACCATGACTGCTGTGAGGTCTCATCAAGTACCACTTTTAGTGACCCTGGAGGAGGACCTGAAGTACTTGCTGCAGAAGGTCAAGGGCTGCAGCCTTCAATATGGATCGAAGCTCAACATCAAGAAAACAAAGATTCTCACCACTGAGCCAATTGGCAGCATCATGATGGACGGCGAAGAGATTGTTAACAGGTTTAGTTTGGTTGGCTTCACAATCAACACTCTTGGTACCAGCAGCCAGGAAATCAAGAGATGAACTGCACTGGGCAAGTCTGCTGTCAGGGACATTTCAGAGTACTGAAATGAGCAATGATGCCAGTCTGGAGACTAAGGTGCGTCTGATACAGGCCATGGTCTTTGCAATTACGTGCTATGCATCAGAAAGCTGGACAATTAGGTATGATAAAAGGAGAATTGATGCTTTTGAGCTGTGATGATGGAGAAGAGTACTGAATATACCATAGACTGCTAGGAGAACAAAAAGGTTCATCCTAGAGACGGTGAAACCAGGCTGCTCCTTGGAGGCAAGGATTCTGAAGCTTCGTCTGACTGACTCTGGACATGTTATAAGGAGGGACCAGTCCATGGAGAGGGACATCATGCTTGGGAGGGTGGAGGGACAGTGCGGGAGAGGAAGACCCTTGATGAGATTGATTGACTGAGTGACTGGCGTAATGGGAGTAGGTGTGGCAGAGATGGTGAGGTTGGCTCAGGACAGAGCAGGGTTCAGAGCTGTTGTACACAGGGTCGCTGTGAGTCACAGGCAACTCAACAGCACATAACAGCAACAACATGAACAGAGATCTGAGCCCTGTGCTCTCCTGTGCCAATCTCACCATCTCTGACACTTGAGCCCACTGCTGTAGGCCTTGTCAGTCCTCCTGGTTGAAGGTCTTCCTCTCCATTGCTGTCCCTCCACCTCCCCAAGCATGATGTCTCTCTCCAAGGAATAGCCTCTCCTAGCAACACTCCCAAAGTATGTGTGATGAAGCTTTGTCACTTCCGCCTCAGGAGCACTCCGGCTGCACTTTGTCCATACCTATCTGTCCTTTCAGTAGGCATGGGACTGTGGGAAGCCGAACATAAAATTTAGTATTAATAATAACCAAATGCTGTATCAAGATATGAAGGAGGCTTAATACAAGCTAGAATTCACCCTGTGGCACTAAGGAATTCCTTAAGAGTCAACACTGTCCTTAGTTTGTCTTTACTGAATCCCTCCCTGAGTTAAGCATAAAGTAAACAACAGAATGGAACTTGGCCTTATCTGCAAAAGACTTCCCCATGATCCCTTGTTTTTGTTTGTACTCCCTTATGATTTTCCTTTGTTTACCTTCCTGATGATTCTCAGTAAATCCTCAGAGAGGCACGGCTTGAGGCCTTCAGCCATGGGAACTGCTGCCCCCTGGTTTTTAGGCGCTCTGTTCTATCTCTTTCTTAGTAGTCTGTCTCATTATTAATAATTATAAAATACTTTACCCTCTGTCTGCAACATGGGACAGTCTTGGGAAGGGCTGTATTAATCAGCTGTTCTGGAGCCTGGCAATCCACCTGGGAAACCAGCCACCATTGAGTGCCTTCTTTTCCAATGACACTCGACTCTTCCAAGCACGATGTCCTCCTCCAGGGACTGGCCGTTCCTGACAACGGGCTCAAATGTGAGGAGGAGTCTGACCACTGTCACCTTGAAGGAGCGTTCTGGCTGCACCGCGGAGCGCAGGTCCGCAGCGTGGTTCTACTCTGACATCATGGCCCACATGAGTTGAGATCAACATTGAAGCAGCGAGCGTTTGGTTTGAGGGCTGACTCTACACTGGGAAGCCATCCTTGGCATCCAGGGGCCTCTGTGACTGGGGGATGGTGTCCCCCTAGCTGTGATGTGGCAGCAGAAGCTGGACCTTCCTGCACATTCTTCTCTCGCTGAGAAGGACCCACAGAATGTGTATACAAGCCTGCACACACATTCACCAGGACGGAGGTCATCCTGAGTTCCTGTTTGGTCATGTGTTTGTTCCAATTAGCCTGCCGTATGAGAAACATTCCCCACATGCTTAACTCCATGCAACATCTTTCCTCCATCATCTGGATTTCATCTAATTGAACAGCTCTGGGATCCCAGTACTGTTTCCACTCATCTGCATCTATCAAGACCTCAGCCAAAGTGCGTGCCACTCAAGTCCTGTTGTGTGTGTGTCACTGATCATGGCCTTGGGATCAGTCTCTCAAAGTGGAGTCACAGTGGGAGGAAACAGTTCTGGGCCTGGGGTGCATATTTCTAGAAGGTTCTCCAGAAGACTGTCCTGGTTTTATTTATGAATAAGGGGCATACTGCACCCTTTGAGTGCTCAGGGCTGCTCTTCCAGGGGCAATGCCACACCCTCTCAGGCTCCTGGTGCCTTCCTGGTGGTCGCTCCATCCACCTGGCACCCAGCCTGCTGCTGACCTGACGAGTGGCAGACCTGCGTTCCTTTGAAGACAAACTGGTCCTGAATTCTCCTTGGCTTCCAGGAAACTATGCAGAACTGCATCAGAACACACAGGGAGCTCTGGCAGCTTAGTGGTAAAGAGTTGTTCTGCCAGCCCAAAGGCACAGCGTTCAAATCCATCAGCTGCTCCGTGGGAGAGCTGGGCAATCTCCTCCCATGCAACTTGCTGCCTCTGAACACCTGCTGGGCGGTCAGCTATGCTCTGGTCCAACCTGACGGCACACAGCAACGACAACATGCACCACACCACCCACATCCCAAATGGTCAAGTGGCTCCCCTCAGGACGAGTCCCCTCTTTCTTGCCTTGTTCTGGGTTGTTTTTTTTTACAAGGAGCTCTGGTGGTGCAGTGGTTAAGCTCTCAGCTGTTATCCAAAAGGCCAGCTGTTCAGACCCTCCTGCTCCTCTGGGGAAAAGCGATGTGGCATCTGCGGGAGTAAAGATCAGAGCCCTGGAACCCAGGGCCGGTTCTACGTCGTCCCCAGGGCAGAGTCGGATGAAGGGATGCCACGGGTCTGCCTTTCCGCCCAGTTTTCTCTGTTCATAGCACCCGTTGGGAGAAGGGGCCATTTCTCCAGCACGCGCACACATTAAGGCCAGTCCACCGTGGTTGGTGACGGGTGCACGGTGGTCGGTGACGACCCATCGTGGTCGGTGACGACCCATCGTGGTCGGTGATGGTGCGCCGATTCTCACTCATGGTGCCCGTGGGGTGCAGGCACAGCTAGCTGTGCGTCACAGGGTTCTCAAGGCCATGCCCTTGGGGAAGAAGACCAGCAGACCAATCTCCCCAAGGTGCCCTGGCTGGTTTTGAACAATCGTTCTTGTAGTAGTTAAGCACTTAATGTTTGTACCACCTGGGGCCCCTCCCTTCTCCAACAAGCCCAGGAGGTTCGTCAGGCTCTGTCGACAGGCCCCACTCCGACTGTTCAAGAAGCCCAGCCTGGGAGCGAGGCCTGCATTCCCAGCAGGACCGGTCCTCCCGGCACCACAGCGGGAGGCAGCACAGTGGGAGGAGCTGTGAATTCACGCTGTAAACCAGGACTAACTAGTATTTTCTGGAACACAGCAAACCAGAGCATGGCGGGGACAGCCTGAGCGTTTCCAAGGCTGTAAATCTTTATGGAAGTTCACTGCCTCATCGTCCCCCTGAGGGTTCGAACCACTGACCCTTAGATAAGCAGCAGAATGCTGTGGCAACAGACAGGTGGTAGTTTATAACTAGCTGGCCCGTGGGCTCTGCACCTAGGCCCTTGCCCGGGTAAACCCTGGAGATGGAGGGAGCGGAGCAGGGAGAGCCCAGGGGTTCCTGTCCTCCTGACCCACACTGGTGCCTGGAGGCTGGGGCGTGAGTGGGGGTCTGCGGGGAGCACGGAGCAGCTGGGGATCCGCGTGCAGAGTCCGCGCGTCCGGGGCGGGGCCTCCTTGGAGAGAGGTCCCGGCCTGACCACAGCTGTGCGCATGCATGAGCGCATCCCTGCGCGGGGTCCTCTCTGTGTGGGGGCGGTGCCATCAGAACCCCGGGACCCCGCACGTCACCCCGTGGGGCCCAGCCCGCGTCTCCCACCGGGTCCCCCAGCCTCCTGCTCCCCAGGGCCGAGCCCCCGCGGGGACCCCAGGTCGGACCCCGCACGACCCTGCCGGCTTCCGCGCCGTCCTGGGGACCCGGGACCCCGGGAGCTGCCCGCGGGGAGACCGCCAGGCCTTTCTTCCTCCTCTGTCTCCATCAGGAAGCTCTGTTCAAAGCAGCTCCGCATCAGAGCCGCGCACAGGGCTCCGCGGGTGGGTGGGCACTGCGCATGCGGGCACCTAGCCGGGACTCGAACCCGGGTGTCCGCCGGGGAACCACTGCCCGCACGGGAGGTGGAGACGCGGAAAGGAGGACGCTCGGCACGTGGGGGCTTATTGTTTAATCACAAAGTGTCACCACGAACATCTCAGCGGAAGCGGTGGAACCGTCAGAGCAGCGGGGAGCGGGGCTCCATGACGGGAGAAGCAGAGCGAGGGACCCACCTAACCCAGCAGAGGTGTCCCGCCACCTCCCAGCTTAGGGTCTCAAGGTCAGTGCGTAAACTAGGGGCCTAAGATGCCGCAGCTCTCCGGGTCTGCAGGCAGAGGGATCAAGGATTGTCTCCTCTGTGGTCAGCAGGCACCCGGGCTGGGGGGGGGGGTCACGTGGGGGAAACCCCGACCACCTACACAATGCCTTCCTTGGGCTGGCTCTGCCAGACCACCAGCATGGTCACACCCAAGGTCAACAGGACGGGCACCACGAGGAAAGGGCAGAGCACGCTGTTGGGGGGATCACTTAGGGCACGTCCGGTCGCAGGGCAGGTCCTGAAGTACTGCTGGTGGACAGCCACAAAGAAGCGGTCCACCTCGGCGTTTGGCCAGAAACAGTTCAGACTGCTGGCCACTTGTCTGGTGCACTGGGTGAGAGCTTCATAACTCCTGCAGATGGAAAGGAAGGGTCAGTCGCTGGAAATGGCTGAGCTCAGGAGGGTTCCTCCGAAAGTCTCACCAGATGCGCTCCTGTGGAGGTGAGAGTGCTGGGAGGCGCCTGGGGAGCTCTCCGGGGTCCTGCCTATGGCCAGACCCTGGAAGCACGGCTGAGGCCGAGGGGCATCCCTGCCACCCTGGGCCACAAGCTGGGGTTCCACACACAGGGAAGATGAGGAAGGGCCTGGAGGCACCTCCAGAGGTCAGTTCCCAGGGGCCGGCCCTTCACAGCCTCCCATCCTCCCAACCCCTTCCTCTGTCACCCTTAGCCTGGAATTCTCATCCTGGATTGTCTATGAGGAGCCTTGGTGGTGCAGTGGTTAAGTCTTTAGCTGTTAAAAATGAGTAGTTCGAATTCACCAGCCACTGTGTGAGGGCAGGACGAGCATTCTACCCTGTAAAGACCTGCTGCTTTAGAAACTTCATAGTTCGAGGCCAAGTGACAAGAGATCCGCACTGATTCCCATTCCAGAAAAGGGTGTTCCAGCCGAGTGTGGAAATTATTGACTAATATCACATGCAAGCAGAGTCTGCTGAAGATTACCCCAAAACAACTGGAATAGTACATTGGCAGAGAACTACTAGAAATAAAAAGCTAGATTTAGAAGAGGTTAGGTCACTAGGAACATCATTGGCAATGTCAGGTGACACTGGCAGAAAGCAGAGAGTACCAGAGGAATATGTCTGTGTTTTATTGGCTATTTTAAGGCATTTGACTGTGTAGACCACAACAAATTGTGGCTAACCTTGAGAAGAATGGGAATCCCAGAACACTTGATTGTGGTTATGGGAAACCTGTACTTGGACCAGGAGGCAGGCATCAGAACAGAGTAATGAAACACTGCATGGTTCAAAATCAGGAAAGGAGTGTAGATGGAGAAGAGATTGAGATTGTTAACAATTTCCGTTTGCTTGGGTTCACAATCAACACTCTTGGCACCAGAAGTCAGAAAATCAAAAGATGAATTGCACTGGGGAAAAATCTGTTGTCACGGACCTCTCCAGAGTGCTGAAGAGCAACTATGTAAGTGTAGAGACTAAGGTGAGCCTATTTCAGGCCAAGGTCTTCACAACTGCTTCCTGTGTATCAGAAAGCTGAACAATGACAAAGGATGACAGAAGAATTAATGCCTTTGAGTTGTGGTCCTTGAGAAAGTATTGAACATGGACTGCCAAGAGAACAAACAGGTCTGACCTGAAGAGGGTGAAACCAGGCTGCTCCTTGGAGGCAAGGATTTTGAAATTCATCTCACATACTTTAGGCATGTTGCTAGGAGGGACCAGTCCTTGGAGGACATCACACTCAGACTGGTGGAGGGTCTGACAGGAGAGGAAAATCCCAGATGTGATGAACCGACACAGTCACAGCGGTAATGGGGGTAGGTGTGGCAGAGACAGTGAGACAGGCTCAGAGTCGGGCGGGTTTCAGAGCTCCTGTACACAGGGTCAGGATGTTAACTTCGAGTCAACTCGAAGGCACATAACAACAACAACAACAACAACCAGTTGGAGCCAACCTGATAGCAGCATGTTAGTTTTGTTTTTTAAAAATTCTTGACTCCAAGGAGCACTGGTGACACTGTGGTTAGGGCACTCTGTGGCTGAACGGTGTGGCGTTCTCCCCAGGAGAAAGGGAGGCAGTGTGCTCCTGCAAGGGTGACAGACCCCACCATCTACGGGGCAGCTCTCGTCTGGCCTGCAGGGCTGCTCGGAGTTGGAACCCACTGAACAGCACTGGGCTTCTCCCCCAAAACCAGCCACTACCGAGGAGACGCTGCCAGCTCACAGGGCAGACCGTCCCCACAGGGTCTCCCAGGCTGTACTCCTTCTGGAAAGGTGCCCCATCTGTCACCCTTCCAGGAGCGGTGGGATAGAGGGTTCAAACCGCCCACCTGTTGGTTTGCCGTTCACAGCCGATCTCTGGCTGGTCCACACGGTGGATACAGTGGACTGCTGGAAACTGCCCTGCAATCCCAAAGGCAGACAGCTGTAATCCGCAATCCACCAGCTGCTCTGCGGGAGCCCAACGGGCTCTCCTCCTGTGTGACTCACCTCTCTGAAAACCCCTGAAGTGTCGCTTCTGCCTCAACGGCAACAACAACTAGAAGTCTGGAGGTTTGAATTCACCCAGAGCCACCCTGCCACTAAGCCCTAGGGCTCGACTTGTGAACACCACAGAGCACACACCAGTCCCGTTCTGCGCTACGTGCCCAGGGCCCGCTCTACAGCGACTCCCATGGGATCCCGTTCTGTGCCACACGCCCAGGGCGGCTCCACCACGATGCCCATGGGGTCCCATTCTGCGCCATGCACCCAGGGCCAGCTCCATGACGGCGCCCGCGGGATCCCATTCTACCATGACGTACACGGGGTCTGCAATCTGCCGCGATTTACATGGGGTCTTGTTCTGCCGCAGTGCGCTAGCAATGCACGCAGGATCCCCATTCTCCCGCGATGCACACAGGGTCCCAGTTCTACCGCAGTGCATGGGGTCCCTGTTTTCCGATGACGCACACAGGGTCCTGTTCTGCTGTGATGCGCCCGAGTCTGGTTCTGCAGCAGTGTGTGTGGTGTTTCGTGACGCATGCGGGACCCCAGTTCTAACTGGACAGGTGGCTTTTTCCAAGGTCCTGGTCTACTGTGGCACAGGCGGAGTCACCATTGTGCCCGCGCCATAGACAGGATCAGTGTTCTGTCACACGGAGGGTCCCCTGGATTTGGGATCTGCTTTGGGGCTACTGACATTAGGACTCATCAGGTGACAACTGACCCCAAGCAATGTCTCCTTGACCCTATGGCCTGGGAAACAGATCTCTCCAGAAGGCGATGTTGCCACCTCTGGGCCGGCCGGCCGGAACAGGAAGACGGCTCAGACCCAGGAAGCTGAGACATGGAGCCGACGCTGAGGCTATGCGTGTGGGACCTCCTGGAACAGGGCCCTGTCTCCTGAAATGTCCTTCCAGTCGGTCATCGCCTACACCCAAAAATAACCACACTGTGGTCACTGCCCACTGCAGGCTCCGTTTGCACAGAAGTGACAGCTGAACCTTTGGAGAAGCAGTGAGCTGCCTGGAGCAATGCTCTAAAGACAGACCACTCCTCGAGGGTGCAGACAGCTTTCTGGTCATGAAGTCTGAGGGCCCAAAATAAGCTAAAACATTTTGTCTTCACCAAACTCCACTCTTTACAGTTCTTCTGTAACTGAAGAATTACCTTAATTTGGCTAGAACTTTCTATTTTGGGTTCCTAAGCAAACCCTGCATGGAATGTTCATAACACTCTGTTGGGCTTTTCAACAGAACTGGGGTCCCAAGTCAAGATTTAGAGCACTGTGAATCACCATGATTTACTTCCGGTTGACAAGATAGGGCCCCACTGCTGTGCACAGGGACTCACAGGTGGGGTGTTCACAGAGGCAGAAGGTCAAGCTGAGGGTCGAGGGCACGAGTGCATTAACACAGCTGCAGCACAGGGCTGGACGCAGCAATGCGGAGGATGGTGCAAGGCTTGGCGGTGCTCATGCTGCTGACCAGAGGCTACAGTGAGGCAGAATGAACTCGCCTGGAGCCACAGCCCTAACCTGGGACTTGTGGCTTCCAAAGCTGTGAGCAGATAAATTTGTCAAACCATCTTCTTGTGGTACTTCGGTTCCAGCAACACTGGGAAGCTCAGGCATGAGTTTTCAGAGGCCAGAACTTGTTCTGTACCATTGAGTCCATGAATGACTCCTAGCATCCTTGATCTTCTGCAGCAAGTCCTTCAGTCCTCCTCAGTTTTGGTGAAGAAGATAGTGTCATCTGCATAATGCTGGTTGTTGATGAGGCTTTCTCCAATCCTGATGCCACATTCTTCAAAACGGCCAGAACATGGGACTAGGTTTGAGAGAGGTTTTTGTCGGACCCCCAGCACCTTTAGACCTCTGATACCTACAGGCCTGGCTGGGAGCTCATTCCCATGGCCATCCTTGGTACCATGCTCCCTCTACCTGTGGCCATACCTCTCTGAGCCTGCAGTCTCTTTCGGAACCTCACTTTCCCCTCTAAAGCCTCACCATGCCTCCAACATCTCTCAGAGCCTCCTCTCTTCTCCTTCTGCCCTGATGTGCCGAGTATGAAGGAGAAATTGTAGGAACCCCCTAGGACTGTGGTGCTTCGTGACTGTCGGGCTCCCAGCCAGCCATGCTGGGCTGGGGACCCCCCCCAAGATGATGTCATGTGGAAGGAGCATGGAAGCAAAGCAGAAGGGTGGGGCCAGCGGCCCTCCTAGTTGGGTGCAGGGACCAGGCAAGAAGAATTTCTAGGGTAGAATTAGGGAGTCTCAGAGCCCCAACTTTCTGAGGTAGACAGGGGTGGGCCTGGCAGTGAGGATGTTCATGGAAAGATACAGTGCAGAGACCCGTGGTAGGTGGAGAGGCAAAGATGCCGGCTCCAGGAACCCCTCCCCAGCGGGACCCCCCCCGCCGGGACCCCTCCCCTCCGGAACCCCTCTCCAACGGGACCCCTCCCCGCCAGACCCTCCCTAGTGTTTCCTTGGTCCAGAGCTCTCAGCACCACTCAGGGAAGACTAGCCACCAGAGGGCGCGCCTTCCCCAGAGCCCCCATCTACCTCCTTCCTCCTTTGGGGTTTCCTGTGCCCCTCCCCTTGCAATCAGATCCAGTTGGGGGGACCTCTCTGTGACACCTCCCTCACCCCTTCCTCATATAACACCTGTGACCTGCTCCCCTCACCATCTGCAGGGTGGCTGGTCCACAGCTCCACTACCCTTGGGCCTGAGTGCTCAGAGAAGGCTCTAGGCCCAGCCACCCACACCCCCAGGGCCTGCCACCTGGCTCAGGCGTGGGCGGAAGTCCTGGCCGGTTATTACGACTCATATTTCTAACACCATCTTGAGCTTGCCAGCCCTGGGAGAGGGCCAGCCCTTACTTGGAGCTCCCTCCAGCCCCCACTGGCCC